CTACTAGGTTACAAATCTTACTAGGGGAGGTTGACAAGAATTACTGAAAGGATTATGATATATGTATCGAATTTTTTTATCGAATCTCTGATCTATTACTCACAATGGAGTTGTGGACCACATTGTCGGAATTTTTAATTACACATGGGCCACGCGTATTATGTGAAAATGGGTAATCTATTATGTCCAAACCATTATTTATAAATGGATTAATAAAGCTAATATATCACGAAAAATTAGAAAATGATCCACTACTTTAGTGACACTACTTCAGTAACCCAAAGAGGGTAATCCATTATGTACAAATCATTATATACAAATGGATTAACCCTTACTGAAATAGTGTCACCAAAGTAGTGGACCATTTTCTAATTTTGCTTCATTTATTAAGATTTTTCTAGGGATGACAACGGTACGGTTCGGTTCGATTCGGTCAAAACCATAATCGCACCATCAAATTTTTGGTCATATCATAACCGCACCATAACCATGTAAGTCGGTTCGATTCGTATCTCGATTTGGTTCGTTAACGAAAATAAATTATTTTTTATAAATTCAAACTCCAAATGTCAAAATGAAAAAAAATATACATGAAGAAAAGTCAAAATAACAAAAAAAATACTAAGCCAATTTAGCAAACAATATCCCAAATGAAAGTGCAAACAATATTCCAACTTCCAAATGCAAAATTCGAATTTAACAAACAAACATTATAAACATAGGTCAAAGACTCTTACTATCATATGTCAACTTCGTTCTTCCCCACAACTCTTAGTAGCATGGTCAAGAGTCAAGACTCAAAGTTGATTCATAGATAATAAATAAGTAATGTAATTAGAGTAATACAATCATACTACGTAATCGAGAATGATCTTAACTGAAGATTTATACAAATATATAGTAAATAAGAAATATAATTAGAGTAATAATATAACCATACTACCGAATCAAGAATGATCTTAACTGGAAATTTAAACAAAAAAAGAACATCTTCGTCAATGTCCTCCTCTCTAAACCTTGCACAAACTTCGGAGTATGATGAATGAACAAAATTTTCTACACATAACAGAGAAAAAATTAGCAATAAAAGAAAGTGCATGAATAACAAATATAAAACATTAAATTCTACCATAAATATTAGTCCAAAGCCAATCTGGAGCACATATTAAAGTTTCTAAAGTCTTCGGGTGAAGTCTATTTCTATGTAGACTCACAAATCTACCACTTGTACTAAACGCCGACTCAGATGCAGGGACAATTGCACTGAGTTCCTGAAATAAGAATTTGATGCACAAAATTATTTACTAAACTTAAGGCACATTACAAGCACTCAAGAAACATGAAATTATACCATACCCGGAACTGGCGAGGGCGGCGACGAATTTGAGCGGAGGAGAAGTGTATTTTGGAGACTGTAAACCTGAGTTTTAATTTAACGTGTAGGGTATATTGAAATTGGGCTACTTGGGCAGTGGGCTGGGTTATTGGGTTAATGTTTACTTAATGTTAATTGGACCAAAATTTTGGGAAGCTCAATTGTCAAAACTGCCCAATTAATTTTGAGAAAGAATAATGAAAGCCCAATTGTCCAATTAATTATTTTTTTTAAATTAATTTTGGAAAATACTGATGAAAAGTCCAATTAAATTTTTTTGAACGGGTAATCGGTTCGGGGCAGTGCACCATCGCTAAATACCATACTCGCCCCTAAGTGAAGCGGTTCATTAAAATCAAAACCATAACCTCCCCATTGCACAATCGGTTCGATTTTTTTCGCCCCATTCAGTTCGGTTAACCGCAATTTTCGATTTTAACAGTTCGAATTGTCATCCCTAAATTTCTGTTTGTATGTTGTTCCACACTAACTAAAATAGTATAAAAAAGCTTTCCAAAATAGTTTTTAATTGTTGTTTATTCTTTAAAATATACAGATTTCAATTCATGCATCACTCGGTCACATGCTAAGTTCATCTATTATCAACTACAACTCTACAAGTTTGTGACACCAACTAAAGTTGGCAACAACGTATTCTCTTCTTTTCCTTACTATTGGCGTAGTTGAATCTTGAGGTACTTTATTGCTAATTTGAAATATAAAAAGAAAAGTGCCCGATTAAATTATGAACTGATGTAAATAAATCCCGAGATACTTTATTATTTAAAATTAAAAAGAAATTCTAATTATCTAACTTGTTTTACTGTACAAACCAACCTACAAAGCCGCCTTGTCCAATCTTATAAAAAAATTACTCCCTCCTTTTATGTCTTAAATTATAGGTTACTTTTATTGTCGAGCGTATATTTGATTTCTTAGCCTATTTTCATGGGACGGAGGGAGTGCATAAAAACTTTATTTCAACTTAGAAATGCTCAATTGATGAAAAAATAAGGGCATGTTCTCTTTATCATTTTAAACCCGTTTTCTGTTTTCGATTTTTCAAAATACTGAAAACGCATTCTCTATCCTATTTTCGAAAATGCCTTTCTGAAAACGGGTTGAAAATTTACAAAGAAAACACAAAACGACAAAAAAAATTGTCGTTTTGAGTGTTTTCAGTTATAACTTGACAAAAATTTCAAAAACACGTTTTCGTTGTTTTCAACCACAGCCAACCATCACCACGCTCGACCACCACTGCACCACCGCGACCACCACTGCACCGTCGGAACCCACCACCGCACCCACGCAACCACCACTGCACCACCACCACCGAAATCGCTAGCAGAAACCCCCACCGCCATAGCCAAAATGGCGACCTAACCATTGAAAATCTCGACCAGAAAGACCACCACCACCCAACCAAAATGACGACCCAACCACATCAAAATCACCACCAGAATCGCGACCCAACCACTGTCAGATTCGCGACTAGAAACACCACCACCGCCCAGTCGAAATGGCGACCCAACCACAGCAAAATCGCCATCAAAATCGCTACCCAACCATCGCCAAATTCGTGACAAGAAAGACCACCACTACCCAGCAAAAATGGCGACCCAACCACCCCAAAATAGCCACCAGAATCGCGACACAAGCATAGCCAAAGTAGATTTTCCATTACCCCCACTGTCCCAACCAAAAGTCGCGACCCAACTGCCACCACTGTAGCGTCGCGACCAAACCACCGCATCCAACGACAACACCCAAACCAACAACCGTCAGTGAAAAAGGAGGGGAAGGGAGAGGAGAAGGAGAAAAAGAAAGAGGCACGAGAAAGAGAGAGGCTGAAGAAGGAGAATAGAACACGTTTTCCATTTCCTAAAACAATTTTTCAAAATGGCAAAAAGAACGTATTTTCAAAAATCTCAAAATTGACACTCAAAACACAAAATCAAAAATGAATTCAAAACACAAAATTCAAATACAAAGAGAACAGCCCCTAAGCGACTGCTTGTAGATTAAACTTCTCGTCGTAAGTGCACTTTTAATCATTAAAAAATAAAAAAGTTCAATTTTAACTTAAAATACTCAATTGATAAACAAACTTTCTTAAGCTCAATTTCAACATAAGTGTGCTCAATTGATGATACATTACTTTTAAACAGACTTCTTTCTACCTATTTAAATACAGAAGATGGAAAAACAATTATTTTTCCTCTCACTTTCTCTCCCTAACCCTTGTTTGAAAGAAAAAAGTCGGGTTTAAGCCTAACTGGCGGCACGTGTGAACTAAATACTCTGTGCACGAATCTTCCACCCTAAATGATGAGAGACGAGTGATCCAAAGTATAAAATTCAGTGACAACCAAATCATCCCTCTACCCCACCTACCCCTACCCTACTGTGCCCCTCCCACGTGCCAGTCTGCTTCAAGCGTGGGCTTTATATGGAGAAAAGCTAATAGCTTTTATAGAAAATTGCACTACTTAATTCGATCATATTACATCAGTAACAAGATGGTCTTCAATCTTGTAAATTGATTCTTTTACACAATTAATCTTCAATAACGCAAAGTATTCGAGCTAGTGTTAAATTATCATACAACATTCGTGGAAATCTATCGCTTTAAATTCTCGAAAAGTCAATCTAAGTTAGGAACCAAAACTTAATTTTTATAAAGTTGAATATGTGAGAATCACAAGAAGATTTAATCAAATTTTTAAAGGTAAGGACCAACTTAAATTAGGGTGATATATTGGGGAGACTGTACAAATTTCTTTAGCTTTTTAACACAAGAGGGCATACAACTTGGGCCTACCTACTGTCCATAAAGCAAATTGCACTTAACCAAAAAGCCCTCTTAGGGCTCAAACTACATCACGCACTTTGCACGTGCAAGTGAAATTATTACAAATCTCCCTTTCCACCCTCAAATCAATTATTTAAGTCAATTATTAAACAAATAGTTGTACTTTCTAAAAAATAAAATGTTAAAATTAATCTCCCTTCAATTTTTCCACGATCGATTGGAATTCATCTTCTTTCGCGTAAAATTCGTATGCATTGTATTCTACTTGATCAACTGATGTACTTTTGATACTCGTATGATATAATACACAAGAACGGAAAACATTAAATACAAAATAAATGCAAAATCTTCTTCATAGTACTTATTATAAATATTTTACATATATACATACAAATTGTAGAGGTTGACGAATGACATTTGAGTTTATATTGTTCACTCTTACATAAGATAATATGCGCTTGTTTGGTATGTTCAATTAAATAGAAAAATATATAAACATGTCGCATATCTTTCTTTCTTTATTATATATACTTATATCTCGTCGAAACTTATAATTGAACAAAACAATTATTTTAAATAAAAGCAATTTTAAGCAGGGTTGAGTTCAATGTATTGTAAACCAACTTTATGAAGTACTATGTAAGTGATTAAAGAGTGAGCACACAAAGTTTGGAATCATGGGTCTAATGATGCTATGTCGTTTAGTCATTTTGCATGGGAAATATGAGAATTTCCGAAAGTACCCTTGTGATGAGATTCTTATTTAAGGCCCACATTGCATAAGCCTAGTCCCTCACATTATTTTCTTCAATGGAAAAACATCTCAAAGAACTGCAGCTACTATCCAGTACTAATCCACACACTGCACCTTCTTCATCACAGGCTTCATCCTGGCAGTTGGATTCGTCGACTAAATTCCGATCACGGGATCACTACGATGGTCCATCACTAGACCTTCAATTGTCAATAAGTGTCACCCCACTCAAGCCACCATCAGATTGTGTTGTAATAAGGAGAGTTAAAGATTATAATGATGTGAAGAAGTTTGATTCTAGCAATGTTGAGGCCTTGAAATGGCACGCGGCGGAGCAAATTCGACTGGCGGCAATGGAAAAGGCTCATGCGGAGCATGTGAGGGAGCTTTCGAGGAGAGAAATGGAGATGGCCGAGTCTGAATTTGCTCGTGCTCGGGCCCTATGGGAACGAGCACGAGAAGAGGTTGAGAAGGCTGAGAAAATGAAGGAAAAGGCCGTTGGAAAGATGGATTCCAGATGCTTGGAAATCACTTGCCAATCTTGTAGACAAAAGTTTCTACCCTAAAAAATGCTAACTACACTTTTTGAGTCTATATAGTGAATTGAAGTTTGTTTAACTTCACATGATGAGTTTGGAGTATTTGATTCCCCTTTGACAGAATGAACAATAATCTTTGATTTGGCATGAGAAAAATCGATTGATCAAATCATCGTGTTTTCTCTTTAGGGCTCTCTTATCTCTTCCTTTTTCGAGCTCAGGTCATGGAAGTAAAAATTGAGGCTTCAAGTCCCATATGCCGGATTGATAGAAGTCGCCCCTATGTTATCAATCTAGTTCCCGACTTCCCTCTATGCCTAGATGCTGTCGATGATCCACCTACGGATGAATTACCGGGCTTATATCTTAGGCTTCTCGAATGATCTGTCTTCGACATAAACTGGGTTTTTTTCCCTCTAATTCTATGTAAGTTTGGATTGTTCCTTCCTATCAAATATTAGAACAGCATTTCATATATGTGCTTTAAGATTTCCTATATTTCTCCAAAACACGACATAAAAATGGACAAAGGTATTAGATTTCAATACATGTGAGCACAAGAAGAAGATCATATATAGTACCTATACTGATCTCTTAACTATGAAACCTATTTCTTTTGGTTCATGAATTATTTACATTTTAATTGTTTCCATGTATGAATACGAGACATGTCACACTTTAAGAATCCGTACCAGAAATGAAAAATCCGTTTATATATTGAAGCCTATATTATCGTTCATTGTAGTCCTTTGGATGAATCACCATGACTACGCGTATGAAGAATTGTTAGCAGTAACTGTTTTAAGTAACTTATTACTTGATAACAGTTGAATCAATTAAAGAATTTACTTAGGGTCCGTTTGATAGCATGAAATTCCATGAAAAATGACACATTCGAAGAAAACGAATTCCACTTTAATCTTTTGATTGCAACATGGAAATGGAAACTGAACTCCAAGGTACAATCACTTTAAATTGTATTTTCTTTATTTTCATAGAAAACGAATTCCTATGGATTTGATGAGTTTTTATTTTCCAACTAACATGAAATTGAAATTCCTTACCACCTTTACATATCAAACGGACCCTTAGTCTAACTCCATGTGTGGGAGGGTGATGGGATTAGCTAATCATGGGGACCCATTGTCTTGGCCATTGTAGCACCTATGTCCTCCAAGGTATACCCAATGACCCGAGAAGGACGTAATTGACCCACCCTTCAATTTCTGGTTCTGGTTCTAAAAGAAGGCAGGAAGCTCTTAAGGCTGCCTCCCAGCACAAGCAACTAAGAGAGCTATTCCATTTAGATGGTGACAAAATGGCTAGACCAAGAATCCACCCCAAGCCCACTCTCGTTTCAAACATGCTCTTGGATTATCCACACACACTACGAGAATGCTCCAACATCGACTTGAACATGAAAATTTCAACTTTGATACCAATTGATGTAGGGGCCAGCCACCACTTTGCCCAAAAGTTAAAACTCGTGACCATAATGCAATCCACTCTAAATTCAAAATCAAGCTATGAATTCACCCCAAGCCCACTCCCTTTGAACCCACCCTCATTTCAAGCATGCTCCTTCATTAGTGTATAAGCACATAAAACATACATGAAATAAGAAATCTGGTGTTTTACAAAGATAAGAAATAGTAATTCCGAATTCAAGTTGATTCTATTTGCCTCCGTATGACGTCGGGCGACATCAAATTAAGAACCTTATAGAGGTTAACAAGGGCAAATGAATCAGAACAAAAGGTAAACATAATTCATTAAGAAAAAGACAACATAGCTGTATACAATTGTATTCAACTTGTTAACTTTACTTCAACAAAAACCAAACACCCACTATCAATGTCTGAAATCCTACATAAAAGAAACATATTTGGATAAGATGGCTCTTAAAGCACCAGTCCCATCAGTGATCAGCAGCAGCACCCCATTTGAGATGTTACAACAATTTGATTTTCTTGATTTGCCTGTAGACTCCAAATAGATTAGTTTTTAATCAAATTAATCTGAAAGTGGAGATTAAGTTCTTATTAACCCTGAGAAATTTGAAGTGAGACTTGTTTTCATTAGGGCCGCATGATAATTTAACAAAGATTTGCACAGTTTTTATAGTTAGGGACTGGATGTGCTTACTATATTAAAATATTGAGGAACAACTTGCTCCTTTTTAAAGGTTTACAACCAACATGCTACTAGGACAATAAGTCGGGGACCGATAATACAATTTCCCAAAAAGAAATAAATCAAAATAGAAATTAAGAGGGGAAGATAAAAACTGTCTTAATTGGTCAAGTGAGCACAGAAAACCATAGTTTTACTATATTTTAAGTCCCATTGTAAAGCACCTGCTTTTGGAAATGGCAACAAGGCATGGGAACAAAAAGGTCCAAACTAAAAAAATATAAGAAATCATTCACCTAAACAGCCAATCAAATTTACAAGTTTCTTGCTTGGGTGCTTTACCTAATGCAGAATCTGGCAAACACTTCCCTCCTGTCTTGCTTTTGGGACAGCATTACTTCTACAAAGCTGATATGCTTCTATTGTTTAACACCTCTTCTAATGGTTCAAGTTGTTGAAGCACGTTCCTTCACGTGCTGACAAGTGTAACTTTTATAAATGAGTATCGTGAGACTTAAATCGAGGACATTTGCTTGTTCTAATACGCATTGAACTTCATTATGTGTCAGACGCTTCAACATTTGATAATTCAAGCAATTTTAAGAACTGTACATAAAAAAATAAAAATGAGAGGGAAGCCAGTGTTTAGATCAATGCCATCTATTTTTGTCTTGAATGTTGTGGAGCCAAATCATATGCCTATTTTTGGGTTCAAGGGTATATATTGACATTTATACTTGCCTATTCTTAGCATCTAAAGGATTTATTAGGAGACTTCTTTTTCTGTGTGCTCGTGTCATGGCGAAAATCGACAAGTGGACGTAGCCTTAACCCTAAAACCACTATAAATCTCCTTTCGTGTTCAAAATTTTAACTCGACACACAATGGTTGATTTCAACATGACCTGATGATAACATTTTTTATCATTGATAATCAAAGATGACAGTTTATACATTCTACTTTATGTCACTTATCTTCGATTCTGATACATTTAGCAATTGCCAATTTGCAATAGTAATCAAAATTTCAAAAAGAGGTGAACCAATTGATAAAGATGTAGGACCATGTTGTTTGATCATCAACACAGTTATTATGACAAATCCTAAGACATTTGTCCTTTCAAATTGTCAGTATGCAGCACATTGCAATAAGGATGCTGTATTTCTACACAATTCAATCTATATGCACACATTTAACCCCGACGATAAAATGTTGGTAGGGAAATAGTGATAGGAAATGATAGTCGCCACTTCGTAGTGGTCCTAGCCCTAAAGGGATCTTTGAACGTCGGCGTGATCCACTCAATCATCATCTAAACAATTTTCAAGAGTCTGCTCGTTTGAATATGATTAGTTGTCTTCGCATCCATTGAAGAAACATATGAGCAGATTAACTTATGTCGCCTAGTGGGCATTCGCATGTACTCATTCATGTCAGCAAGTAAAGTGATCTCTCGTATTTTTGATTTAATATTGTACAATCTACCATATCAGCTTAACAATATGAGAGCCAAACACAATTTCAAAAAGTGTTAAAAAATTCATTTCTAACTGGTCTAAAGAAAAAGCCAATTTACTTTTGGCGGTGGGAAAGTTTTCATATTTTTGTGGGTCACAAATTCTGACAAATAGGAAATGTGGAAAACACCATAGCATTGCAGTGGACAACAGTTTGGAATGGGTTGCTTTACTTATTGGCAACAAAAAAGTAAAAAGGATAAAAGGTTTTGATGATTGATTCAATAATTTCAATTATAAGTTGATAAAAAATTAAGTGCTGAAAGAAGTTTAATCAACATTGTCCACTTGAGGCATTTTCACGCTTTTCAGATAAGTGTCACTTGCTGGTTCAGTCGTACAGCAGGCATTTGCAATGTCGTTCCCGATTGTATTTCGCTGTCAGTTAAGAGTATTTAGCCTTAAAATCTCAGTGTATAGGACGAGACAAAATCATATTATCAAAACTGATGCATAGCAGAATACAAGGCAGGCAATTCTTTGTACTTTAATGATACCTTCAATAGCGCGAAAATTCCTTAAATTCCTAAAAACAGTTTCTAACACAAGCAAAAATGGGATCTCAGACAGCTTAGAGTAAGATAATAGCAAAACTCTGCTTCAAATATCGTTACAGGTGTATGCAAGGAGCAACACATAAGTAGAGTTGGGATTTTTATTTTTTAAATTTTAAATCAAACTCATTTTGTGAAAGAAAAAGTAGAGTCAGGAATCAAACTGCTCGGAACTAGAAGTGAACTTAACTCAATAAACCTGCGATTCATTTGCCTCAAACAAACTCGTGCGATGAGCAAAGTAAATTTCTAACACCAGCAAAACTCGGGATCTCACAGAGCATAGATAATTATTGTATAATGAACATGATTTTAACTTTTTTCTTTACATGGTACAGTATAAGAACGTTGGAAAGTAAATAAAAAGGGCACACGGCTAGTAAAAGGAAAAAGTACATTTTACACAACTCCAGCAGGAAGTGTACAAAAACTAAATATTGAATCTTGTGGAACTGATGACATATTGTTTGCTCTCTACCATTCCAAAGTACTCAAGCTACAAGCATATGAGAACAAAAGCAACCCAGAAACATTAGTAACAAGTAGATGCATGGATAAAACGTCAAAAATATTCTGGAGAAATTCATACATCAAAAAATACTGATTTCAATATATTACTGTAATTTATTGCAGGTTACAAGCTTAAAATATCAATTGTAGGAGATATTCAGAACTTACAAAAGAAATTGAGGGCGAACAGAAAAGGACTATCTTGACACACAAGACAACGTCCAAAGGTAACAACCTGGCAAATAGACATCTTCATTTGGAAAAAAAAAAAATTTGGAAAGTAAGGAGGCCCACAAAGGTAGTATTATTGGCCTCACCAATAATCACCACAAGAACAATTCCCATCTCTAAAATGGTGAAATCTACTAGCATCCCTCACGACAATTTCTCTTTTAGTAACCATGGCTATTAATTTAATTGCATTGTGGCAGTCGTTGCAAATCCTATGACTTTGCACAAGTTGCAACGGGGTTGAATCAGAAGTGCTGATTAGCCCGAATGAAACAGCCAACTTTTCACTATGATAAGTTAGCATGCGCTCGTCTCGTTCATCCACATCAGGAAGCAAGGTTGTTCCTTCGGGAACATATCCATTTCTAGAGATCTCCAGCATTAAGTTATCTAAATTATCATAGATATCCTTGGTTAGATGATGGGATTTATCTCCAGTCAAGAAAGCATGTGGCTGCTTCTTAATTTCTATCCATGTACACGCAGGCAACATTCTCAAACCTTTTCTCTTCAAGGTTTTCACGACTTCAGCCGCTTCTTCCAATTTCCCAGCATTCATATAAATATTCAAAAGTACAACGTAATTAGATAGCTTCTCTGGTCCCATCCCATAAAGTTTCTCTGCAGCAAATTTCCCAAGCACAAAATTCTTGTGGATCCTACAAGCTGTTAGTAAGGCAGCCCACATGTTTATAGTAGGCCTGAATGGAGCATCTCTTATCAATGCAAAAGCTTCATCCAGAAGCCCTTCTCGGCCTAATAATTCAATCATACAAGCATAGTGCATTGCTCTAGGTTTCACCTTGTAATCCCTACTCATTGATTCAAATATTTCCCACCCACAATCAGATAGCCCTGAATAACTACAAGAAGATAAAACTGCTAAAAAGGTAACATGATTGGGAACCATTCCTTCAGAAATCATCTGCTCGAATAACTCAACTGCCTCGATTCCACGACCATGATTTCCATATCCAGATATTAAGGCATTCCAAGACACGACATTCTTTTTTGGCATCCTCTCAAAAACATGCCTAGCATCTTCTATTCTTCCCCATTTGCAATAGAAGTCTACGAGTGCTGTGTTAGCAACTATATCTAACCCAAAACCATGACGTACTAGCCCAGCATGAGCTTGTTTTGCGTGCTCTAACGAGGCTAATCTTGTACAAACTCGTATAATAATTGAAAATGTAAAATGGTCCATTTTGACGCCAGAATCTTGCATTTCATAGTACATCCCCAATGCTTCCTCACTATAACCATGAAGTGCATAACCCGCAATAATACTATTCCATCCTACAGTGGTTTTTGCTGGCAACTCATCAAACACAAACCTTGAATCCTCTACGCTACCACACTTGCTATACATGTCAATCAAGGCACAAGACACATAGGTATCATCATATAGGCCCATCTTCATAGTGCAAGCATGCAATTGTTGTCCAGGAGAAATGAGTTCCAACCCAGCTGAAGATCGAATCATCGTCGCGAGTGTCCTAGATCCAACATCCACAAACTCTTCCCACATCATCAAGAACAACCTAAATGCTTCTACATAATCTCCAACATCCACAAGCCCCCCAATTATGATGTTCCAAGAAACCAAGTTTCTTTCAGGCATAGTATCAAACAACCTATGTGCATCAATCATCATCCCGCATTTCACATGCATCAACAGCACCCTGTTTCTTATATACAAATCCGGCTTAAACCCAGAATTTAGCATATAATTAAACACCCTTTTGACGCCTCTAATTGACTTCAAACCAATGCAAGCACTCACCAAAGCATCATAAGTACTACAGTAAACATCATTATCATCCTCGCATTCCAAAATCTCAAACAATTCAAGAGCCTCACGGTACCTTTTGCACAAAACCAACTTCTCTATTTGACCACAAATTCGAGAATTAAACTTCGAACCATCCAAATGGGTTTCAGCTTCTTCCTTCAGATTCTTATCTTCTATTTTTAAGGGTTTAGGCATGGGTCGGGGCCTTAAGCCTTGTTGATCTAGAAAAGAACCCCGAAATTGGAAAAGTGGGACTCTGCATTTTTTCCTTTTAAACAAAAAACACCCGGAAAAAGAGAATCTTTGTTTCAAAATAGTAGGTTTGGCTAATGAACATGCAAATCTGCAACTGCTTTGAATTTGATCCAGAGGCAAAGAGATGTCCATATGCAAATATAAAATAATTTCTGAATAATAAAATTCAGCAAAACAAGAAAAACAATGAAGAGAACTACTTGTGAAGAGATTTGGATGTGAAGAAACTGATGCAAGAATATGAGAGGGAGATTGTCAGCTTTGAAAGATCCGCCAGTTTTGGGTTCTTCTCATTTTTCTTGCCACGTCCATTTGTGCCCTCAAGTCGTATGTTAGTTCAGCTACTCGCATTGGATAAAAAATATCAAATTGATTGATTTATGGGTAGGGTTGTGATAGATTCTCATTCTATAGTTGATAGCATGGGCGGATTCAGGGACGGGGCCAGCCTATGCTACAGTCCCCCCCTCCAGCCCAAATACTAAGTGAAAAAAAATTAGTAATTTTTTTTTTTATTTTTACGTTTTAGCTCGTGTCCAATTTTTTTCTGGATCCACCTCTAATCGATTGATATTAACCATTGACCCATTACATCCAATGTTACAATTCGGGCACAAGGAAATTTATAACAAAACTAAACATTGAGGTTGTACAAAGGCTCAACTATGTAAAATTATAAATCTAGGAATAAAGTTCCAATGATAAAGATATAAAATGGGATCTAAAATTGTATATCGTACATTTTTCATTGACTAGGTCTTGTTTTAGAAGTGAATATTTACTATGTGTTTTTTCATTGACTAATAATTATAGATTGCAGTGAACAAATAACATAGAACTTCAATGGAAAAAGCTTGAAGTACAGGGAATTCCATATCGAATGCATACGAATGTTGACTTGGCAGAACTCGATTCACCTTTTTTTCATCTTCCAATGATTCCACATTTGTCAAAAAATTTTGCTAAAAATTTCAATACTCGTAGAATGATTGAACTTCAATAATATGAAATCGATGACTAGGTTTATGCATACGATTTTTGGTTCCAATCTCTAGAGTCTTGTTAATCTCCATCAACGACTCAAATTTTGTGATAGACGTTGTGAATCAAAGACTGGGGACTATGTAACGAGTATTTGGTAGCAAAAAAAAAAAATACAATAAACGATTCTAGCTCATTAAATTTTGATGTACAGATGAGAAACCACATATGAGTATTTTCGATTCCAGTGATTAAGTGTTGCTAATGATTTGAAATGAAAATGAGAATAATAAATATGTAAATATTGAATATTTCAATTTAAATAAGGCGTCAAATTAAAGAAATCTGATTTAAGAAAGCTTTTCAGTCCAAACTTATGAGAGTGGGATCAATAAGGTTCGACTGGTAATTGTGGGATTGTGATGTTTTGGGATGATTTTTAATTTTTATAATTTTTTTTTTTTTTGAGAAAAAGGAGTTCATTAATCATCATAAAAGCAAGTTACGGATACAAGGAGGAGTATCCTCCAGCACAATTCTCTCCTCGGAGAGTTTAGGTGCTTCCTTTGCTAAAATATGAGCAACCACATTCACTTTTCTAGGTACATGACTAACAGATCAAGAATGAAAATATTCAAGTATGCTCCTCGCGTCCTGAATCAATAGACCTGGGTAGTTCCACAAGTCAAAATCTTCATTCAATCCCTTCACAACATTAAGCGCATCTCCCTCTACCATGATCGACTGCAGTTCGAGCTGTTTACCAAGTGATACAGCTTCCAATACTCCTAGTGATTCAGCTAAAAAAGCGTCCGGAAATGCACTACTCTTGGCCATGAGCGAGGCTTTAACTTTTCCAGTCCAGTCTCTCACTACAACCCCTATTCCAACTAGGCATTTGGCTGAGTCTACCGCCGCGTCCCAGTTAATTTTAAACTTATTCAGAGGGGGTGCAGACCAAGATTGGGACACCTGTGTTTCTCTATTTTTGGCACTGGCCGGTAGGGAATTTACCTTTCTGTACTCCGCCGCATATTGTCGAGCTCTATTAAGAAGTGTTGCTGGGTTTTCAAATTTATCCTCAAACACCAAGGAGTTTCGTCTCTTCCAAATCAAATATACTGTGGCTGTAAAAATCTCCATGTCTTCCTCAGGCAGCGTGCAAAACAAATGGCTGACTAGTTCTACAAAGAGCAGCGGCTGGAAGGACGTTTTCTGTATTTTCCGTGTGCTAGCTCCCCATACGTCTTTGGCTGCACCACACAGCCACAGTGCATGAACCACAGACTCATCTTCAAGATTGCAAACCGGACAAAGAGGGGATTCCCTAATTTTTCTCCTGTTCAAGTTCTGATTTGTAGGTAATGAGTCATGGCTCGCACGCCACAATAGCATTTTACTAACATTTGAGGCCTTAAGACGCCATATGTTCCTCCAGACTTCGTTTTGAGTGTTACTGTACGAACATTGTCCCAGTGAGTCACGCTTCAGCTGACTGAGTAAGTGGTACGCACTTTTAACAGTGAACTTCCCGTCCTTCGTGCCCCTCCGGGTAAGTTTATCCGGACTACCACATAGGCTAATAGGGATCTTACTGATAGTATTAGCTTCCGACGCAAAGAATATATTAGAAACTAGTTGCATGTTCCACGTTTTCGACTCTTCGTTAATAAGTTCTCTCACTCTGCCATTCAGTAGCCTTTCATGCAGGGAAGATTGGATTTGAAAAGTGGAAGCTTGGGGGATCCATTTGTCCTTTCCGATAACTACTGATGCGCCGTTTCCAATTCGCCAAAATAAACCTTCTCTCAACACATCTTTAGCTTCCAAGAAACTCTTCCAAATATAAGAAGCATTGCTGCCAATCTTACTGTTCAAAAAATCTGATCTTTTGTAGTATTTTGCTTTGAGGACCCTTGCAGCCAGGGAATCGGGATTTTGGGTTAGCCTCCAGCCCTGCTTCGCCAGTAATGCAACGTTAAAGTGCTCAAAATCTCTATAGCCGAGCCCCCCAGCAATTTTGGATGTCCCTAACAGGCTCCAAGGGAGCCATTGCGTCTTTGTTTTGTCTCCCCTACTACCCACCAAAATCTCTTAACTTGCCGGTTTATAGCTTGAAGGATGGTACGTGGTAGTTTAAAAATACTCATACAGTATGTTGGGATAGCTTGGATAATAGACTTGAGAAGAACTTCTTTTCCTGCTTGTGAAATGAACCTCACAGTCCAACTATTCATTCTACTACTTATCGAGTCAAGCACTGGTTTGAACGCTGTTATTTTGTTCCTGCCAACATAAGCGGCCAAACCCAGATATTTCTCAAAAGATTTCGCTTCTCTTACTCTGGCTGCATGAAGCACTGCGGACTTGATTTCCTGCCTTGTGTTCGTGCTGAAATAAATGGAGGTCTTTTCCAGATTTAGTCGTTGCCCCGACGCCTGTTCGAATGAGTTCAATAAATAGGAGAGCCTCCACCATTCCAAGACATTGGCCTTACAAATTATCAAGCTATCGTCTGCAAAAAATAAGTGATTCACTAGCAGGTTACCCTTTGTGAACGGAAAGCCAGAAATGAACCCTTTCTCCTACGCTTTGTCAAGTAAGTTGCCGAACACTTCTGAGCAAAGGATGAAAAGATAAGGGGATAGGGGATCCCCTTGCCTTAGGCCTCTCGTAGGCTGGAACTGACGTTGCGGCTCTCCGTTGATGATCAGGGAGTATTTCACTGTCTTGACACAGTACATGACAAGCTCTATCCACTTCTCACCGAAACCAAGTTTTCTCAAAACGGCTTCAAGGAAATTCCACTCTATACGATCGTAAGCCTTACTCATGTCCAGCTTGAGTGCCATGTAACCTTCTTTCTTCCCTCTTACTCTATACTTCATGGAGTGCATCGCTTCATAAGCCACAATTATGTTGTCAGAGATCAACCTCCCTGGGACAAAAGCGCTCTGTGCTGGAGAAATAATATCAGACAAAAAGGATTTTAGTCTGTTAGCCAAAACTTTCGATACAACTTTATAGAGAACATTACACAGACTAATGGGTCTATAGTCAGTTACAGATAAAGAGTGCTTTTTCTTAGGGATCAAGGTAATGAAAGTTTCGTTAATCTCGCCGAAACCTTGCATCGTAGTGAAAAGCTCTTTAACAACTGCACAAACACCTTCACCAATGGAATCCCAATTGTCCTGGTAAAAACCAGCAGAGAAACCGTCTGGGCCAGGGGAACTCATGGGGTCCATATCAAACATAGCTCTCTTCACTTCCTCCTCAGTGCAGGGTTTCTGTAGCTGATCATTTGTATCAGGGGGGACTATGGCTTCAAGATCCTTCACTACCTCTTCGATGCCAGTCGGGTTAGAGGTCGAGAATAATTGTTGGTAGAAAAGTTGGAAAGTGCTGCTGATCTCGTCCTGTTTGTTAGACAATTCTCCACTTTCATTCAATACACTCCTGATGAAATTCTGTTTCTTCCGTTGAGATGCACATTTATGGAAGTATGCTGTGTTCTTGTCCCCACACTTGAGCCACAATTGTTTAGAGCGTTGCTTCCATTTGATTTCTTCGTCTTCGAGTAGTACATCTATCTGCTTTTGAGTGTCTTTAATTCTACCGTTCAAGTCCCCTTGATTAATACTCTGCAGTGACTGAAGCTTCTTCAAGTTTACTTTTAACTCCTTCCTTGCAACTCCAGCATTATGTTTGGACCAATACATGAGTTTCTCCCTGTATCTCGCTAACCCCTCTTGGAACCAGCATAATGAGCTACTCTGACTCCCAGGTGATGGCCAGGCACTTTCCATAATGCCTTTAAACTCCTGTTTCCCGGACCATACAGCTTCATAACGGAACAACTTAGGGGCTCTGGGATTCACTGAATTTGGACCGTTATAGCAGTAAATTAATAGGGGATTGTGATCCGAATTGACAACTGGTACCACATGTACCTCACTATTACAGAATAGTGATGAGAAAGATTGATTAGCAAAAGCTCTGTCCAGCCTCTCCTTAGTGAACTGCCTCCCCTCCCTTTTGTTGCTCCATGTGAATTTGGAACCAACATATCCCAAATCCTTAAGATTACAATCTTCAATCACATTGCAGAAGTTCTCAATTTGAGCAAATGGTCTGTGTGTGCCTCCTGATTTCTCATTTGGACTAAGGATCTCATTAAAGTCTCCCATAATTATCCATGGGGGCATGCTCTCCGAGTTCAGTCTTCTCATTAACTGCCAGCTTTCCTTCCTTCTTTCTGTGATTGGGTTTCCGTAGAATCCAGATAAAACCCATGATATTCTACCGTTAACATCCAAAACATTCAGTGAAATATGATGCCTCGAGTAATTAAGAATAGAGGCATTAAGTTCATCTAGCCACAACATAGCTAGTCCTCCACTTCGTCCAATACAATCCACAGCAAAGCAATGATCAAACTTAAGTTTTACCCTTATTCTCTCCAGTTGGTTTCTGTGAAGTTTGGTTTCGGAGAGAAAAACCAAACCTGGGAGCTTCTCCTTCACCAAATGGTGAAGTTCACGAACTGTTCGAAGGTTCCCAAGCCCTCGACAGTTCCAGCAAAACAGCTTCATGGTAAAAGGCAGGGCTGCTCCGCAGCCTCTGCCATAGACGAATCTGTATCTTCATCGTTCGAACTTCTCCTCCTTTTCAACTGAGTTTCCTCTGAGTCCCCCGTTTCCTTCTTTTTTTGGGTTTTATTATCCTCTTTATATCCTTCAGAACTAGCAGCTTTAGAAGATGTTGAAGTTGGGCCTTCTCTAGCTCTTTTTCTCCAGGTTTTACCACTGGCCGAGCCCTTTTTGGAAATCAAAGTCTGTGGGTTCAGATGGTTTTCAAGCTGGGCCTGGTTTTGATTGGGCTTTTGTGGGGATAAGGCAGAAAACTCACTTGGCCCTGATTCTGTCATTCCTCCAATATTTTCCTTAATTATGGGGCCAATTTCCACTTCTCTCCCCGCTGAAATCGTCGAGATCTGCACCTGATTCTGTGTCATTTCACTTGCCTGAAATCCCGGGATATTCTCCGTGAAATTTGGCATTGAGACCATAGCTAATTCCAGGTTTTCCGCCAATTGCAGATTTTTTTCCTTTCTGTTCTGATTTTCTCCCAGTATGGTCGGAGTTTCCCTGAGATTGAGCTCCGGTTTGTTCACCTGAACATGGGCTCTCCCTGCTAGTATGCTATTCGTATCTGATCTCTTTCCACTTGCCCGTAGCCACGCACCATATTGCTGCTCCAATCCATCACCGGTAGCTGAGCCTTGTTCCTTCTTTTCACACTGCCCAGATACATGTTTGAGTAGGCCACAATGATAGCAGAAATTCGGAAGTCTTTCATATTTAAATGGGATCCAAAATTTTGACCCCTCAATATTGAGGAATCTACCCCTCGATAGGGGCTTGGATATATCTATAAGCACCTTAATCCGCAGGAACTCACCCAGACAGATCCCACTGAAATCCGTATCGACGTTGATTACCTTTCCCAAACGCGAGCCAATGTCGTTTCCCGTTTTCTTGTTCATCCCGGCAAAAGGTATTTCATGGCATTGAATCCAGAAGGCTTCTTCTTTAAACGGAACTTCTTTAATTGACACAACATTTTCATAGTCTTGTAAACATAGTAATTGTTTGTCGAATGACCATGGTCTGCCCATCATTATCCTCTCCTTATCTTCTATCCTCTTCAGTTCAATCATGAATTTATTGAATCCCACGTCTTTGATGACTGCTTTCCCTTCCACTTGCCAAACTTTCACCATTGTGCTCTTCAAGGCACCCTTATTCGCCTCGCGATCTGAGATCACACAAAAAGCTATGCATTTCTTGCTTTTCTCTACAGATAAGAGAACTTCCTCCTTTCCAACTTCCACCTCTTGTTGTTCATCCACTGTAAGCCTCAATTTCTCGTACAAATCAGACAAATCTCTTTCCATCCCAACCACCTCTACAAACTAGAAGTCCAAGAGGAGAAAAACTAGACCTCCGGAGGGGACCTAGAGAGAAAACCTTACCTTTGCAAACAAAAAAAGGACCAAAATGGTACAACCACTTGTCAAGTTGAAAGAGCGAAAGCAGTGTACCTTTCACTTGAACCCTTAATTTTTATAATTCTACTTTGGTATTTTTGAAATTGTAAATGGTGAAAGATTTGGGAGAATTAATTTCCACCCACAAAAATGTGGAAATTACACCACACCCTATCTCTGGAGATATCAATTCTAAAATCAGGTGAGATACTTTTTCTTTAAAAAATCAGAAGTTTTATTTTAATTAATATTTTTATAAAATAATTATATTTACCAACCCTAACCCCCCCTCTCTCCATTTCTATCCCAATCTCGCCGCCTCTCTCTCTACCATCTCCACGCCTCTCTCTCTCTCTACAATCTCCACGACGAAGAAGGCGGCGACGATGAGGACTCTCTCTCTCTCAGAGGATTCAGTCACTGCAGAAGCTCCTGCACCAGACTCTCTCTCTCCGGCAGTTGGGTGCAGTGTCACGGCGATGGAGCTCCTCTCTCTACCGTCCTCTCTTTCATTCCTTACCCACCAGCAGCCACGACGAGGAAGTTGTCACGGCGATGGAGCTGCTCTGGCCGACACTATGCCATAAGCGCTCGTCGTCTCCGGCACTGCAGATCGAGTAGGAGAAGGGGTGGTGGTGCTGGTTCACGGCGGAGGCGGAGCGAATCAATTTTTTTCTTTCTTAATTTGATTTCTTCGCACAGATCTGTGGAGTTGTGTGAGATTTGTGATGATCGATTTGGTGTGGTTCGCTGGTTGTGTAGTGGGGCAGTGTGTGCAGTCGAGTGGTGATTTTAATCTTCCGACGAGACACTGTGATGGTCGATTTGGTGTGGTTCGACTGGTGGAGTTGGAGGCTTGACTGGCTGTGAGTGTTGGAGGCTTGACTAGCGGTGTTGGAGGCTTGACTGGTGGTGAAGTGTGAGTTGGAGGCTTGACTGGAGGGTGGCTAGGAGGATGCCGGTGATGATGGACCATCCATGACCTTAAAATTCTGCAAGTTGTGACTAAAAATTAACGTGTAACCTTAAAATTCGACAATTTGTGACTAAAAATTAACCTGTGACCTGTAATTTTTTGATATGTGACCAATAAAATAATCTGTGACCTGTAAAATTGTTGATTTGTGATCACGAACTAATTCGTGACCTTCAAAAATTTGGACTGTGACCTCGAAACGTTTTGAACTGTAACCGATAAACAAACTGTGACCTATAAACGTTTTGAACTGTAACCTCGAAATAATTTGTAATTTATAAAAATTTTTATTCGAAATAATTCGTGACCTATAAAATTTTTGATTTGTGACCTAAAAAATAATCCGTGACCAATAATTATGTACCTGTGATAATTAATTGTATAATTATGACATCATTATAATTAATTAATTAAATCATAATTAATTAAATCATAATAAAATTTAATAAAAATCTAATTTTTGAAATTTCAAACTTGTTTTCTTAATTTTGAAATAGCGAATACTTATCTTCTTACTTTTGAATTTTTCCCCACAAAAATTATGTTAAACAATGAACAAGAACATCTTCTCACACAAGCCCAGATGGCCCGTAAAATATGTTTACCGGCCCACATAAAGAAAAAAGCCTAGTCCAAAATCAATATAGCACTAGCACTTAGGGTTTTAATCACATCTCCAGATTCAATTCAGGAAACCTTGTTCTCCGTTTTGGGTCTTGATTTCTGCACCGCCGCCGCCGTCGTCTTCGCCATGGTATTGTAAAGAACTCACCTTAGTGATTTATACGCGTGCTTGTATGTATCGATGTATGTATTCGTGGATGTCTGTGTGTATCCAAAGATGCCTGAACCAGCACTGTAACGATTCCTTTTCTGACATTATAGGTGAAGTATTCCAGGGAGCCCGACAACCCGACCAAGTGTAAGTATTCATATGATACATTGATGGATGTACACAACTACAGTGCATCAAACTTGTTCTGATTCCGTAAGTGTAAGGTACAAGCAGCGGAGGTGATAGTGCTAAATCCGGCGAGTAGTGCAATATACTTAAATTGCTGTATCTTACCCTTGCAGGCCAAAGTTTTCCTGTGCATTATTGATCTTTTCTTTGTGGGCTTGCTTTTGTGTGCATTGAATGATGGTTTAAAAATGTGAACTGAGTATATTGTATGTGTTTCAGCATGCAAAGCCAGGGGATCTGATCTCAGAGTTCACTTCAAGGTGGGTGTTTTTCTAGTTTATTGTTGGATTCTTTGTACTTCATTATCAATTACTATGAATTACACTTTTTATGTGATGGTGTTTTATAAGATTTAAGGAAGTTTGTTTCATTGATAATGTTACTGAGAAAGGCTTAGATAATCCAACATCTGAACTGCATTTTATATGATGCTCCTAATTAATACTGTATTGTTTCAGTTTTAAGAAAACAATGCTGGATTGCTTAGTTTAAATATTTTACCGGGGGTAGCTGTTTTAAGTACGTATGAATATAATCAAAAAAAGCTGTTACTATGATTTATTTACTTAACATGTCTTATTCGTCTCAGTTGGCTGTTAAAGTATATTGTACAGAATTCTACTAGTGGTTTATGGAATGAGTCAATGATTTAAGGTTCTCAAGATGTTTTAGACCCCCTCCACCCCCAACTGGAGAACTTGTTGCAGAAATAAACTAAACTCTATTTTCAATAATTTGGGTTGACTATTTGAATCTTTTTCTCCTCATCATTCAATTCATCGCTAAATGTACTGAATGTTCTACATCAACTAGATATTTGACAACTACAACATACCATGTTGGTGGACTATCCTTCCTCTGCTGAATTGTTATATCGAGACCACGTCAGTCTTATCATTTATCAATATCAATGGTTGAAGAATGGGTCTTTGCTTAATCGTGCTCATTCAGCATTACTTCCACTTGTTGACCTATATTATCATTTCGTATCTTATCAAAAAGCTTGTCACGACAAACAAACAAAAATAAATAAGTAAAGAATATGATAAAGCAACAAGGAATCTATTGGATTTATAGGCCATCGGTATCTCATATCTTGAAGTTCTTTTTGAATTCAGTTGGATTAATATGGATCAGTGAAGTACCGCTGTAAGTTGGACCATCAATGTCATTTTTTTACTAGATTCCGATTTTATTTTTTATAGGAATATTGACAGTATATTTTTTTGAACAAGATTCACTCCGTAATCTGATACAGAAATTTCTTTAAGAAATTTGATTCTTGCTGCATATTTTTATTGTTCTTTTGGATTTTTGAAGTTCTGTATGACCAGATTTCTTAGATCCATATTAAAATCATGCTCTGCTACGATTTTACCCACTGTTCACCTATTATTCCATTGCATACATTTCAGAATACAAGAGAGACAGCCCATGCTCTGAGGAAAATGCCTTTGTCGAAGGCCAAAAGATACTTGGAGGATGTTCTTGCCCACAAACAAGCTATTCCTTTCACAAGATTCTGTCGTGGGGTCGGCCGCACTGCTCAGGCAAAGAATCGCCATTCAAATGGACAAGGACGTTGGCCTGTTAAATCAGCAAATTTTATTCTTGACTTGCTCAAGAATGCTGAGAGCAATGCAGAAGTATGCATTTGTTTTTCTGGATATTTTGCTCATGTTATTAATATCTAGGGAAAATTGCATAGCCGAAGTTGCACAATCAGTTCCCATCCACCGAAACTGCCCGTCTTTATTAAATCATTATGTGGCTCTCACATATCTAAATTTATGAAGCTAGATTTTGTTTTCCAAATTGTGCTTGTTCCCATAAATTTGAAGTCAGGCACGTTTCAACGGCCAGCTAAGAAAGATTTAACGAAGATTTGGGCAGTTTCTGTCATTGGGACTGGTTGTGGAACGATGAAAATTTGAGAATCAACTTGCCTATTGTAAAGGTTGTTGACCAACTTGCTACCAGGGCAATAGATTGGGGATCAATGATGTAATATTCCTTAATAACTACTAACAGATGAGCATTAACATGATAATTTTTGCAGGTCAAAGGCTTGGATGTAGATTCACTTTACATATCTCACATCCAGGTGAACCAAGCAAGGAAACAGAGGCGTCGGACATACCGTGCCCACGGGAGAATCAACCGTAAGTCCCTTTTGTTCCCTCCAGTTTTTAGTGGCTGCTTCCTGTTCAAATATCAATTTGTAATGATCGTTGTTCTGCTCACAGCTTACATGTCATCTCCCTGCCATATTGAGTTGATCTTGTCAGAAAAAGAAGAGCCAGTTAAAAAGGAGGTGATTTATAACATCCCCTTATAATATTATTAGCAATAGCTAACCAAGAAAAGGAAAAAATGTTGAGAGCTGATTAGGGGTTAATATAAATATCTAGTGAAAAACTTTTTTGCACTCAAGTTAACTTATAAGTAGATTCTTAAGCAAGCGCTGACAGAGTTTGACAAAGTTTTATAATGTTTGGATTTGCAGCCTGAAACCCAGCTGGCTCCCAAGAAGACAAAATAGACTTCGAGTTCTAAAGAGTGATGCCTCTTTATAAATGCTAGACTGGAGATAGTCTTCAATTTCGGGAAGGCGGAAGAATTTCAGTTACATTCTCTACTGTTCACGAGAACATTTTTATATTATCTGAATTTTGTTTAACCAGATTTTTATGTTTCTTGTGTCATCGACTGAGTTTGGTCTTGAATTAGGACACAAGCATTCAACTAGTGTTTACTTTTGTTTATATAACTCCATTTGTCTCCCTTTAAAATGGAACTCTTTAATTTTTATACTCATTTTTAATCATGCATTGACACAATAAAATATTTTGCACGTAAATTTAAAATTTTTTCCAATTTTTTAGAATACATATTTTTTGAAAAATCACTAAACAAAATTCTATTTTATCAAACAAAATTCTATTTTATCAAAATAATGATTATCAAACAGGGCTTATATTATCATTATTATTACTTTTACTGCCATTGAAGTTTTTTAACCTAAGATATATGTTGGTCCTTTGTTTAGATTGCCTTAGCTAATCAGTGCTTGTTACATCTGGTTTATTAAAGGATATAATTCTGGCAACCCCACCTACGCGGCTACGGCATACCTCCCTCCCCACTCCCACCCTTTGCCAAGACTCACCCAACAATCCCTCCCCTTTCCACACTGACGCCACCATAACTTGTTTTTCACATTATAACCCAATTTAGCGCCCAGCTGGCCTCATTATCACACATTATAATAAGAACAATAATTTTTTAAAAAATTATGTAGTTAAAAAAGAAACATATATTCTTGAAATTTATGTATAATATTATTTTATTGAAGAATGTATAATAGAGAAATAAATGAAGGGAAGATTACATATTTAAGAGTATAAGTTTAGTCTAAATAAGAACACAAGTTTAAAATTACCCAAATCAGATTTTTATTAGATTTTTTCAAATTTTTATTTATGAAATAAATAATAAATTATTAAATTAATTTATTATTAAATATTTAATTCTAATATAATATAATTAACCCATCCTACCTTCACTATCTCTACCGCTCCGACAACCGTTCCGATCACCATCTTACTCCGGCGAACTTTCTGGCGACTTCCCGGTGAACTTTTTCGGCGACTGTCCGGCAAAGTTTTCCGGTGACTTCCCGACGATTGTTCCTGCGAACTTTTTCGGTGACTTTTTCGATTCTAACAATTATTTATTTTATTAATTAAATATAATGGTTTTACAATTATACAATTAATGGTCACATATACATAATTAATTGGTCACAGATTATTTTTGAGGTCACAAATCAAAAAAATTATAGGTCACGTTTTTTTTTTGATCACAGATCGAAAATTTTGTAGATCACCGATTATTTCGAGGTCACAAATCAGGTCACATATTATTTTATTGGTCACGGATCAAAAAATTACAGGTCACAGTTATCTATCAATCACATATTTTCAAAATTATTGGTCACAGATTAATTTTTAATCACAATTTTAAAGTCACAGTTAGATTTTTTTTGTGGCCACCCCGTGATCACCACAAATTTCTGTGACCACCCCTATTGTAGATTAATTTTTAGTCACAATTTTAAGATCACCACCACCGAATTCTATGACCACCCTCGTGATCACCACAGACTTCTGTGACCACTCCCGTGACTATCATCGTCGTTGTCGCCAAGACCAACAACACCACTCTGTGACCACCACCGACTTCCGTGACCACCATTGTGACCATCCTCACCCGCTAACCGCCGCCACCATAACAACAGCACCACCACCAACAAATAGCCACATTGCCGAAACCACCACCACCACCTCTCGGCAATAAACCATCATCTAAAAAAATCGACATCACGACCACAACTACACACCCACAACCACCGCACCACCACCACCACTAATATAACCACCTCCACCACCGCACCACCTACAACCGTCACACAACCACCACCACCGATTTGCAGCTCCGACCCCTAAAATCAACAGCTCCAAGTGAATCTCACCAACCATAACCTGCTGCTTCGCCAGAAAATCATAGCCCCCATCTTCGCTGTGCAAAAAAATGCCATTGTCAGAGAACACAAGAAAGCACCGGAAAATACTAGCAATCACCGATCAACACCGGTGGCTAGCACGGGACCATCACCGCTTTGCCTGCCACACAGCAGCAACATCACCCAATAGCGCCACTGCTATGTGCGAGTCATGACAGCACCGAGACTTGCTATCGCGTTTCGCGAAGTGGCAGCACCCAAACCCACAACAGCTGCGTTCAAGTCACAAAGGCAGCAAGTGCTACCCACCGTCAGCTACTGGTTGTGTGCAGTCATGTCGACGCGTCGTGTGCGGCCATGTCTGTGCGTGGATCGCCTTCGCCGGCAGTGGTGGGTTGGGATCTGTGAAGGAGGCGAGAGATATTGGGGGAGAGAATTAGGGTTAGGGTTAGGCGAGAGATATAGGTGGGAGAGAATTAACCCCTGTTTGTCTACCATTATGGGGAGGAAAATTGTGTAATGAATAGTATTTTTTGGAGAATGTGTGGTTGAAATTTAAAGTAACTTTACTGATTTATGTGTAGAATATTTTATTAGGTGAATATGTGGTGAAGATTATTTACTGTAGAAAACAATTTTTGAAAAAATGGTAGACAAACAGGGGCTTAGTTTGAATTGTTATATTAGTAAAAATATTTATTTTATATGTATATATTAATTAATTAAAAATATCTGATTTTGGAAAAAGCAAACTTTGTACCTGATTTTGGAAATGTGAATACATAAACTATGGTTTTGTGTAATTACCACATAAATGAATTATAATTTAATGGAGAATAACGGGACCATGAATTCAATGAGCCACACGTACATACAGTTATCCCCTCGTTATTTGCTGTCCCAAAAATTTTGTCCCCCCTATAAAGCTCCTCCGAGTATTCCCTGTACTTGATTTATTACTCAAAATGACAATGTTCTAAGCGATATTCCCAACTCATATTGGATTATAATCCGAACAAACGTATTAACCATAAGATAAAAATATCAAGTACAAAACTGAAATTTTACAAGCTGAGAACAATTGTAAAGAATTTTTAGATTCAAAAACCATTTGAGCTGTCTCAAGGTTGTGCAGCTTCCAGAAGTTTATCATATATCTGTCTGGCAGTCATATCTTCGACCTGGTTCAGAAATTATATGATCAGACGAAAAATTAATCATACACAAAGGAAAAATTCAAATAAATAGATAGATAGGCTAGACAAGTAAAGAAAAGATTTGCTTTGCTTAGGAAAAAAGATGTCTTCATTGCCATCATACTGATGTTTACTACGTAGGTTACGGACGGATGAATATTTAAACGTATGCACGTGTATATTTAAGTGTTTTCATACGCATGATTGTGATTGTAAGCGCAAGCACACTAATATTATGGATTTCTACGTCTGATTAATTACAGGTCCACTTCAATTTGCAAGATATGCAATCTTCATCATAATTCTTTCCCCTAGGTTTTCATAGGGATTGAAGTAAAAAAAGGAAAAATGAAAAAATTCATCCCTGTCGTCTAGTTTCAGATTATAGTAAGGAAAATAAAATAAAGCGAGGAACCAAATTTCCTCTTGGACCTGAAAAAAGATAACTATTATAAGCAACCAAAAGGCTTTTGAGCTTTGATGAACGAGGGTCTCCAAAATATAAGAACCTCATCATCTTATGCAAAAAACCATCTGTCCTCGGTGGTCAGGTTAGCGATTTCGTTTTGCATCAGCTTTGATGTTGTTGCTGTAGGAATTTACTACATTATCATGTCAAGGTTACTAAAACAGTTGTTTGACCCTCATTATTATCTTAATCAAGATTGATGCAAGAAAATTTTTCTAAGAAGTCCCGTTTCAGCTTTTTCCTTTTCCTTCTCTTCTGGAGACATTCTTAAAATAGTAGATAGTTACTCTCCTCGAAGGAGACATCTTTATGACTTGATTAACAATGGTTCTTTTATTTATTCCCCGAGGTTCAATTTCTTGAATTTACTTGGTCAGATAACTAACTTGCAAAATAATCAAACTTAATTATTAATTTTGACAAGTTCTGTTCGCTGTGGCTCGATGCTATGGGAAGCTCACTGACAGAAAAATAAAACACAGCTATATCTGTAGCGATCAAGTCATCAAAACACAAAAAGGCAATTTTCTGTGAGTACTTGCTCGGTGAGCTAGAACTAGAATCGTCAAATTAAAAGTCAACTGGAGAAGGAAAAAGTAGCATGTATATAGTATCAAACGACGGTTTAAAATGATGAAATTTGATAAGTGAACTTACCACAAGGAGCTTCGATTTGTTATTCCATCCTCTTTGAAGAGTCATCTGGCTTAATTTAAGGCCCAATACCTGTCTCGAAGAAATTTTACCCAGTCAACTTAATTTCATTTCATAAATCAACCGAGGTTCAATTTATCAGCTTTTAAATAAATAAAATTCTGTTGCATACTTTTCCCATGAATTCTAAAAGCTCACTGTTAGCTTCTCCCCGGGCTGCAGGTGCAGCTACAGAGACCCGAACATCATCAGCATTTACTCCTGGTATAGATGTAATTCAAAGACACCATTCTTAGCAAAGAATGACCATCAGTTATACATCTTTATTGCATTATAGTCTTTTAGAAATGTCAAATTCCTGACAGGCCATATGTAAAAGATGACAGTTTGCCCCTACTAAAAAGAAATATTCTGAATCTGCCCATGAAGATGCACAAGGTTCGTTGCTTGTAAAAATATAATAATTTTTCACAAGTAATGCTTCAACATCACATCTTCAAAATCGTAATGTACACAAGAAAAGCTTTTCCGGTTTAAAAGCAGCAGAGACCCACTAACAAATGCAGAATATTATACTGTGATCACAAAGATTTTGGATGTAGACAATAGAGATACTATCTCGTACTAGTGATTTTCAAATCAAGCTTAGGGCTCACATGACATTATACAAGTCAACATTCTACTTCTAAGGTTACAGTATCCGGATTATTTAAGGATGACTGCCTCTAGAAAGACGGCATATAAATGTTTGCTCTCATGCTCTGCGTATAGCTAACTACTGCTTTGAAAGTTAAGAGACTCTGACTCCAACATGCGCTGCCTGAATAGGTATAATCATTGCCCCCCCTCCTAAACGCATGTATGGGCCTTACACATATTAACATTTAGAATCTGCAGATTGCAGTTAATTCAAGAGTTCAAATCACATGCAATTATCTACTCTTTCTTCAAACTGGTTCTATTTTTTCCAATTCCTTTGGCTGTAGAACAATAAATGACAATTCACTTATTCATGCTTAATTCTTTCTTTCATCTTTTTGGCAAAGATTAAATAAATATTCTCAAGGAGTATACAAGAATGTCTTGAGGATGAATAAAAACCAGAACCAAGAACACTGAAAGCATACGAAGAAATTGATTAACACCGGAACTAGCACACTGAGAGCATACAAAGAAATTGAATTTTCCACACGAAGGAACTACTATAAGCAAAACATATACTTATTCGATTTTAAGCATATCCTTATGTGTGTAGGTGCATGCATCACATGAATTCTCTTAGCTAAAGCTTTATCCCATGGACATCTATGATGCAGAATAGCAATTAATTTACTTGTTATTGCAGACCGCTGTGCACGGTCTTCCACTTCTATTGCCACTTGAACAAGGCCTCCTTCTAATTGTGATATACAGGGCGGTACAGGAGCATCCTACAGTAGATAGCAAAAGATCCAATTATAGCTTCCTCACAAACAGTTAACCCACAAGAGAGAGTACAAACTATTCCCAAAAGCATGAAAGAGCAAGAAACGTGGAAGTACTATGGACATCGGACAAACTTGAAAATTGGGTAAAAGGATCTATGACATGCCTTTGGTCCTTCAAATTTTTATATTGCTTGATTGAGTTGATTCCCAAATTGAGTAGCTGAAGGATTAATAACAAGGAATCAAGGATAATGATTGAAATACTGATATATGTTACCTGCGGATTGGTTTCAGCAGTAATTGCACTAAGAGCACCATCAACCACATATATGAAAGAGGAGGATTCTAGATCTTCTTCTGCACGATAGCAAACAAACAGCTCACAACCCAGACAATTCATTCTATACTGCCTCTCCATTTTTCCTTCACCACTGCACGAGAAAGGTTCGCCAAAACAAAGATTAACTTCAAAGAATTTAAATTTAAGAAATTTAGCACAGAACAGCTGAAATAGATATAATGAAATGAGATGCACCTATCAAATACTAAAAGCAGGTAATCAGTAATTCTTCATGAATCCACAAACTGATAGCTCTATAACTGATTTTTGTTAGATTATATATTTTCAAGTAGTGAAATGCTGTGTATGCGAACATATAGCAAATTTGGCTCGTCAATTCCATGCAGGAGGCAATATTCCTGGAGAAATGCTATCTATCATCGATAAAGACGCATCACCAGTTATGTGGCAATAGGTCCCTTGATTCATTGTCCAATTGCGTTGTGATGCAGTTTAATTCATTGGACAATGAAACGGTAGACACATTGCCACCTAACCGGTCATGCATCTTTATTAATGATTAGATAACATTATTCATCTTCCTGACTTTATCAGGCAACACATATGATCAGCAATTCCAGCACGAACAAGATTTTAGACTTTGACGGATGGTGCACAATTTCACATTTCTCATCGAAATAAAGAGCAAGTTTTTTACCATCTTTTAGTCTATTAAAGTTACATGTAGTGACGGCTTGAAGATTTGATTTATCTAGAAAAGATAAGCAGACTGCAGGAACTGGAAATTACTTACAAACAGATGAAACAGGTTTACGGGGGTAAGTAAACTCTCTGATACAATATTGAATCAGTAAGACTAAACATAATAGGATTGTTCCTAAATACATTTGGGTATGCAAATAGATGGAGAAATCAGTTTCACAACAGTTCAATTTTTTGAAAAATAAGAGAACTTGTAAATTAGGCACCAAGAACATGTCATGTAAAAGAAATATTAGGGGTTGTTCTCTTCGTGTTTCAATGTTTAGTTTTGAGTTTTAAATTCATTCTGGGTTATGTGTTTTGAGTGTCCATTTTGAGATTGCTGAAAACACATTCTTTTTGTTATTTTGAAAAATAAAAAAATGAAGTTTTGGCTTGATTTTAACTGAAACAGCCAAAACAACTTTTTTGGTGTTTCTGTTTTTTTGTAAATTTGAAACTCGTTTTTGGAAATTTGTTTCCGAAAATAGTTAAATAAACGTGTTTTCAGCGTTTTCGAAAACTGAAAATTGAAAATGGCCTGAAAACAGACCCATAGTGTCTTGATATCTTTTTTGTCCCTTTCTGCTTGTATTCATTATTAATGAAAGTTACTAGTTCGACCTAAAATTACGTAATATGTGAATAATGCAAAATTAAAATTATCAATTAGAAGCAACACGTCACTTTTTAATTGTTCTAGATGTTTAGTCAATCAAGTAAGTTTATCCTATGTTGAATTACCACAATAATAATTAAAGCAGTAAATAATAAAGGATTTGTTGATAGAAAAAACTCTTAATTGGGTAAAAACTCCGGGACCAAGTAGTAACTTCCACTATAAATAATAAGAATTTACAGTAAGATCTAGCCTAAAAAACCCACTAGACTCATTGATCTAATTCCTGCAATCTCCAAGACCCGTTGGAACGTTCTTCACTCATACCTGCTTCCGATCTTTTGGAAGTGTGTATCTCCTGTGGATCACCAAAAACACATTGTTCTTGTAAACTTCCTCTGCTTGCGGTCCAACCTCTCTCAATCTTCAATAACCTCTAAAAGTTATTGGAAAAGTACATTCTTGATTGTGTTTAGTGAGTGTTTTTGATTATATGAATTTGATGTTTTTATCAAACTTGTGGTTGATTGATTTCATGAATAAAGAGTTTAATCTCAATATTTAACTGTGTTATTGGATCTTGGATTGATGTAATGAGAATGTAAAATAATGAACAACCACACACAAAAACGTAATTAGTGGGTATTTATGTAGTACAGGATAGATAGAACTCTTGAAAATCGCAATCTAGGATTTCACGTATAACACCGTCGCTCGAGCGCCAAACTAGCGAGAGGTGTGTTGCTCGAGCGAGATGCGGGCGACAATGATTCTGCTTTTTCCGCTCAAGCATCAGCTAGGGGCCACGCTAGCCTAAATCCGGAGACCCTTTTTCCTTATTCCATACTCGAACCCAAAGACTTCTAGTTCATCTATACAACCCTCCAAAAGGCTCCTTGAGTTTTACAACTCTTTTATAACAATACTACTATTTTATAATAATCATTTTGTCTAAAGAATTGCCAATACAATATAAATCCTAACAATTAAGTGTTTAGTCGAATAAAACAAAGCACTATAGAAAGCTGAAAAAAGGAAAGATTTGCATGATAAACAAGACTATACAACATGACACCTGATAAAATTTGATAAATAGAAGATTACCGCTTCAAGAGAATTTTTCCCCCTTCACTAGTATTCAGCCTTGCAAGATGCTTCTTCTTGTCCAATACATATGCTTTGTCAGTTTTTCTCTTTGGCATTTTCTGCAATTGTGTATCTAAAAAAATGCTTCAGTATGGAGAGGCGTAAATTTACAACTGGTGTATCTACAAATAGGATTTCTTTGGCCAGGAAAAACAGAAAATCAAGCATAACTGAAATAGAATCAGTTTTGTACTTCTCGAGAAGTCATCAAACATTAGAGATAAGATCTCAAATTAGTCCAAATCAAATTGGAAGTGGAATTAAAAGTATAACTGAAGTGATAGCTGAAAATATTAATCAAATATTTCTAGACTAATAACATAAAAAGAAGCCGATTAGTTGCAATAATTTCTCCTAAAATTCAAAATACAAAAACAGAAACAAACAATTTTCACAACAGTTCTTCACCCATCTGAAACAAATGATAAGCACAATCATCTCCCAGTGCATTATGCTTGGGAAAAATTTATTTATATTATGCATACGGAAGCCAAATCGAAGTTCATTTGGAGAAATATTCCAAAAAAAGGTCAAAAAACAGAAAAGAAGAGTAAATTACCGGTGATGAGAATGTGAGAGCTGCAGTGCTTGCAATAGTATACGAAGAGATCGGAGTCCGGGCCGACCGGCGCGGCGTCCTCGCTGGAGTACGTGTGCGTAGTCCGCTTCGGCATTTGATTTTAATCCGTTTCTCTCTCTCTCTCTCTCTTTCAGCGACTGCTTCCTTTTCGTCCCAAATCACGACCGACGAAAGTGTTGCCAGGAATCCAGTGACCAAAAGGGAAAATAAAAGATAAAAATAGGTCAATTAAAATTTCAATTTAGCACGTTTGTCTACCATTATTCCGAAAAATTATTTGTTACAGTAAGATTTTCCACTACACATTCATCAAATAAAATATTCTACTCAAAAACCAATAAAATTACTTTAAGTTTCAAGCACATTTTCAAAAAAATATTATTCATTACTCTATTTTTCACTCAATAATGGGAGACAAACACACCCTTATTACTCTCTCCGTCCCATTATATAGGAATAATGATATTCATCCACACTGGAGATGAAAATACAATCTACGTGGCATTAATGTAGTATTAAATAATATGTGAAATTAAATAAATCATTTAATTTCACATTTCATTTAACATATTATTTAAAGCCACCTAAATTGTGTTTTCATCCCCAGTGAGGATGAATAACATTACTCATTATATAGACTTATTTTATTTTTCACATGAATTAAAAAATCTTATGTATGTTATTGGAAAAATAATTTTTGTCAAATACTTTCCTAGTTTATCCTCATTCAATTATCAATAACTAATAGTAAATTATTATTGGAACTTGGAAGTAATAAATAAATAATGATTTATTAGTAAACGAACAAAAAAAAAACATTCTTAATAAATAAACAAGATTATGGGGGTGTTTGGTGGGGGATTAAAATTTGATTTTTAGTAGACTGTGATATAAATTTTTGAAATGTGTGGTTGAAAAGTTGTATGACCATGAAAGATGTGGTTAATATTGATTGTTTGACTTTGATTTAAATTTAAATTCGATTATAATCAGAAACAAACATGGCCTATGTAATTGGGACAAGAAAATAAGGAAAGTGTGCCCATATAAATGGAACGGAGGGAGTATAAAATACATTATGAATACAGACGTATTTCCCTTTTTTGGTTAAATTTTGTTAGGTTCTAATGGCCGAACTTGCATGTATGTTAAATGTTGTGTGTTCGAGTCGACTACTTTTATTTCTATTTCAACTTCCAACTATGATCACATGATTTACAATTTCAGTATGGAATTTTGTCTAGGGGAATAAAGAGCTGGGGTACTTACAAAAATACCCTGAAAATTAGAGGTGTTTTGAAAAATCATGTGAAAGGTTTTCAGGAAGTAAAAAATACTGTGTAAAATAAAAAAGTGACACAATGTCACTTTTTTTATAAAAATTGTCACTTTTTTTAAAAAAGTGACAAAAATTCAAAAAAAGTGACACACACTCAAAAAGTGATACAAACTCAAAAAAGTGATAAATATTTAAAAAGGTAACAAAACACCAATCAAAACATATGTTTGTTATAAAAAAAA